AAACTCCGAAACGGCAGTCGTCTGCTCAGGCTGCAGTTCAGCAACCCTGGTTTTGCCAGTGGATAAATGTGCCTATGTCTTTCTTCAGGGCGTGATCAAAAAGTCAATCAGCGTTGCTCCACTGATGACCAGGGGAGGGGGCTCAGCGAGACCCGAAACAAGGACTTTTGTTCCTCAGTGTGTTACCGAATGTGACGTACCCCGGCATGTTACTGAAACCTTGTTAATTTTGAGCCCAGTTTACCAAAGTGCTTATGCAAGTGACTAAGTGAGCAAGACTTTTAAAAATCTGATTTACATCCATTCATCAAACATCCTGCTTTGTCAGCCGTAGACAGTGTTTGCTCCCAGCCTCACTCATCCCTGAACAGCAACATAAATAGATGGGGGAGTACACCGTGCTGGTATCGCGTGCTCAGTCTAGTGTCGGGATTGCTATTCCGGTGGTGTATGCGCACTCCACTGAGGGAGCTACACCACTGAGATGCAGATCTGGGAAAGTTTAGTCTTAACCTGCATTCTCCATTGAGGTGTTTGTCTTCTAGAGTCACCCATGGAGCTCAGCGTGAATCCACTGGAGGAACAATGCTCTAGACCAGATCCTTCTAGCTGTGGAAGGATCAGTAACCCCAGTTTTAATCGTAGAACTGATTTACAACTTTGGTAATTTCAGCATACTTCTCTTCTCTTAAAAGCCTTCTTTTGGATTTCAGCTCACTAGAACTGAACAGTGTGACCTGAAGCAGAGGAATGTGGAAGCCCAAGCGAGTTGTATCTGACTGCCACTAAAGTCTATGGGACTTAGACACTTCTGTGTCCCAAAAGATGAATACAGTTCCATACATTTTGAGAGTGAAGCTTCTCAACCATTTTCTAAGGAGGGGCTTCCTGATACCACCCTGAAAAAAATCCACAGATCATCTGGTGTTGTTTTTTTGAGAAACTGAACAAAGAAAAGTAGTATTTGCAACAAATAAGAACTAAATTTTGAATGTTTGTCTGTTACTCCCCCCCACTTGTTTCCTCATCTGCACGTGAGTGTAAATTTGTTGGTTCTTTTTTCTGGATCACGGACTGATGTCCTTTGATGTCCTTTGACCCACAGAAGGTTTGCAGGGCCAATAATATTTCTCTCTGTCAGTTACTACCAAAAGCTGCAAAGAATGAAATTCCTTCTCTGTGACAATCCATACAGTATTATTGTGAACAATTGTATAGGAGCTTGAAGCAGACGTATGATTGTATAGAGTGGTTCATTCATTTGTAAACAGCTTTCAGGCTTTCAGACTTATACTGGATTTTTCTACTGCAACAATTTTTTTCTCAACCAATCACAACAAATTTGACTGTCAGAATCCTGTTTCTGCTGTTAATCTAAGGCACTTACAAATTATTTGTCCTTCGTGAAGAAACGAGAGAACAATAACTGCCACTTTTAAGTGTCCTGAAATTTTCCTTCAGAAGATTTGCTGCCCTGTGAAAACGTGGCCGGTACATCTGCACAAACTGGACCGGACTATGAAGAGCGATTAAAAAAACCTCAAAGCTACTGGAAGAACTGCGAGAATTTACCAGAAAGCAGATGGAGAAACGAACCTTTCCCAGCCGGCTCCCCGGGGGCAGACCGGGCGGGTGTCCCCGGCTGCTGCCCCTTATCGGGAGCATTCCAGCCTGCCCTGTTTGTCATAGAAACCGGCCGGAGCGGGAGCGCGCTCGCAGCCAACGGAGTGATTCAGTGGTGATGGGGAAAGGCAGGTGGAGCAGGTAAGTCACCTCTAGACAGGAAGGTATAAAAGATACTTGAATTACAGCGGCAGGGCCACTTGTACGCAGGGAGCTGTTAGAGGTTACTTGTCTTGCCAGACCTACCGTGCTCGGAAACAACTCGGGAAGCTACCGGGGAGCTCGAATACCAGAAGGCGGCTTATAAATACAAAAGACCCTGAGCGCAAGACTATCCTCTGGAGAGAAGACTCTTCAGGGGTAGAAATCAAGAGCCCGGAACATGCTTTTCTCCTTCTAAACAGCACTCTGAACAGGTATTTATAGACTTTAATCTGCTGTACACCTCTTAACTTGCCGTGTATTCAGTTGCTCTGAGTTAAAGATACCATTAGGGAATCATATTACAGAACAGTGTTGGCCGCTATCTGAACTGCGTGTTCTCTTTTGTCTGGTTTTATGGCATGGAAAAAAGTTTTCTAGAACTTGTGGGGAAGTAAGAAGTACTTAACTACTTAGTTTTAAATCCGAGTCTATGTGTCTCTCCTGAACAGTTTAGTGATTTACTGATGTTCCCAAAGTTTCTGGAAAGCCCAGGTAAATAGCTGGGAAAGCGAGGTAAATAGCTGCAGGGTCTGAGGAAATGCAGTGGGACCATGGAGGTCTGAACAATTGAAGTTATTGTCTTGTATTAATTAAAAAAAAAAAAAAAAAATTGTGTAGTGCAAAAAAAAACCCCAACAGAAAAACAAACAAGCAAAAACCCCAAACCCTAACTAATTCTATTGAGATCCCACACTGCATGTCTTCATTGGGACTCTCCAGTTTTAGTGACCGGCTCTCATCTAGTAGCACAGCAGTAGTGCCCAGGAGGGATCTTGGTCCCTGCGTTAGCTGCTGCTCAAACCCAATTTAACTTTCTGAGCATCAGCTCTATGGCAACACACCAAAAGACACAAAAAGCAGGCAGAGGCTGACCTGTCCGGTGTGGCAGAATATGAATTAAAACTGTCTTTCCCATGCCTTGGCTCTGTGCCCTGCTTTTCAGATCTTCCCAGTTTAAGTCAACTACCTGCATCATGTCTGATCTAGGTGCCACGTAACACCAAGATGTTGAGAAAAATAAGTAGACTCTAAATTTATTAAAACACAAGCATCTGTAGTGTCACGATCACCTTTAGCAAAGGGAAAATATGAGCAAAAGCTTGTATCTTCATTTAAAAGCAGCTGTTGTGAGTAAACTTCCTCAAGTTTACTATCAAGATACTGCTGTTGCTATAGCTGTCGTATTGCAAACCAGTAAAAACCCCAACAGAACAGCTTTTTCACATAGGTTATGAAATCACAGTTTGCATAAGCGAAGGCTCTCTCTTTCTGAGGTTACCTTCTGCCACTGGTTTTGCTGCTCATAATTTCTGACAAACAGTCCAAGCTGAGGGACTGCAAAGAACCAGGCATAGGGGATGGACTCCTGCAAAACAGAAGATTTAGTAGAAAGAAAAAACCAGGGGTTTCCCTCATCTCTGTGCCAACTTGGGCTTGGATTTGTAGTTCATCAGCATCTGCCAGATTGTGCTAAAACATGCATGGTGAGCTGTAGCCGGAAAAAAATACATTAAAAAAACTTTGCAACTTGCTGAAAAGTGCAGATAGTCTGTGACTGAAAATTTAACTCGAGGAGAGGCTTCAGAAAAATTTCTTTATTTAGAATAAGAGACAAAAAAGAAGGAGGTTTCTTGAAGTTGGTTTCAGCTCTGGCAACGCTAGCTGTGATGGAGGGGGGGAGAATACTTCATTCTTAAATAATGGAGACTTTTGTGCAATGTGAGGAATATGCAGTCCTTCTGATACCTTAAATTAGCCTTTTATGCTGAGACGTGGAGTCTCTGTCCCATGCTGGTGAGCCATTGCTGGATTGACTGGAGACCTATAATTACAGCAGCAATCTGAACACTTCTGGCTTGTCATCGGTAAATCTCCCAACACAAAGAATCAAGCCTAGCTAGTTCAGTGACACATCCTAAAAAAATGTTCCCCAGGCATACAACATCAGGGCCGTCGCTGGGAATTTCTTCCAGCTAAACACTTGCTTTCAGGTAAAAGTGCTCAAAAGCTGAAAAGTCATATATCTGACTATCAGAATGTATGCGAAGCTGCATGTCTAGCCTAGGATAACTGGAATTCAAGGTAATACCCAGTTTGCTGAAAAGGCTGGAGTAAGTTGTAAACGGCTTTGCTAGAACTGGCGTATTAGCCATGCAACTCAAGGCTCCTGCTTGCACACCACAACAAAGCAGAGAGCACATGGCAGCACACAGCAAGGCTTGGGCCGTGCCAGCACTCCTCCAGGGCTGAGGACAGGGAAGAACTGTGTTTCCCTAGGGAAACCAGAGCGACAAGGAAACAGTGGAGAATTCCCCTTGCTCTGGCACCAAGGCCACTTCCTCCAACATTGCTTTTCTTGCTGTGTCACGGTGACGAGAGAGAGATGCTTCTTGTGCTGTTTGGGGCCGAGGATGGGACAAACTTTGCAAGATAACTGTGTTTCCTCACCTCCCTCGGGTTCTCCTGTGACATGAGGGAGTTCGGATCCCACTGGGGACAGACAAAACCAGGCAGCATCGCTGGGCGGTGCCTCTCATGCCTGCTAGGCAGCATGCAGAACCGTGATTCAAGGCACAAAGCTCTGTCTGAGCACACCAAGGAGAAGAGATTCACCCCCCTGCTACCTCCACAACTGAACAGTGTTATCTGTCTCTTAGGCCTTGCTCATGCTGCCACCATAATATCTGAGTGCCTCCCAGACTAATAGACTGCCATAGCGAGGTCCCTACTTGACCTCATGGAGTCTTCTGCTCTCCTCCCTGCTCAGGTGTCGGGGAGCACCACCTGGGGTAGGTTTTTGTTGTGTTTTTTTCTGCCCAGAGGGAGGCATGTACGGGGGAAAAAGACTGCACCCATCTATAATGCCATGGTGGTTCTGGTGAAAAGGCTTTGGCTGGATGGTGGATCTCTGCTGGTTGCTTGCTTCTTTGCAGGATGTTTAACTTCACCTTCGGTACGCAGCTTCGAACAGACTACCTGTGTCATTCTCACCTCTAGCAGGGATCTATTCCAGGCTCAGGATGCAGTGGAAGTCATGAACTTGCTCTTTGTGCCTTTTAAGGGGTTAAACGTAGATCTGGTGATGGGTGTCTTCACCTTGTTTAAAATGAAGGCTGTGGTTTTCTTCTCTTCTAGAGTCTCCCAGGGCTCTATTTATTTCCCCGGGCTCCGTCATGTCGTGCTTCACGCAGCTGTGGCACTCCAACACGCCAGACTCTCCCACCAGCCCAGTCCCTGCCTCTCCAAGTGAAATCCCCATCCCCATCAGCCCCATTGTTGTCACCTCCCCAGGAGATGGCAAGAGGAAGGCGAGGTCCCCAACCGACAAGCCAGGCTCTCCAAACCCGACGTCTCCGAAGCCAGCCTCCCCTGTGGAGTGTTCCATTTGCTTCAACACCTATGACAACACCTTCAAGACGCCCAAGCTGCTCCAGTGCTCCCACGTTTTCTGCCTGGAGTGTGTGGCCCGCCTGAGCACAGGGCTGCCCCCAAACCAACCGGGGGACCAGCTCCCCTGCCCCTTCTGCAGGCAGCTGACCAGCATCCCTCTGGAAGGTGCCCCAGCACTCGAGACCAGCAAGGAGCTCCTGGCCACGCTGCCTCCTGAACTCCAGCAGGAGAAGGTGCTCTGGATGGAAGGGACCAAGCTGTGCTGCCGTCAGTCATCTGATGACCCTGAGAATCCAGACTCGTGTATCTCCATTGATGTCGCCATGAGCAAGCCGGAAAGTCCGGAGGCCCCCCCGGCAGGGTTAGCTGGGAGGCTCTCCCGCTGTGACATGTGCGATGACTGGAAACGCATACTGCTCCTCTCTGCGTTGATCATCATCCTCTTCTGCATCATTCTGTGGCCGGTCCAGTGCGCCCTGAAGACGGGGAACCTCCGCTGCTTCACAAGGACTGTTGCGATGAGCAGGCCGGACTACCTTCCCTCTAAACACACCACAGCGGCAGCACCTGTGACACAACTCCCTTTCCAGTAGCAGCGAGGCAGCCCCTCGCTCCCGTCGGGCGAGGCTGTCGGCTCCCTCCCCACGGCACGTCGGGGAGGCAGGCACGGGGCCTACCGCCCCGACGGCGTTCCTTGGTTTGCTGGCAGACCCCGCGGCCCACTCCCCACGCTCCCTCCGTGCCTGCACTTGAACACACCATCCACCTCCAGGAGCTCTGCTGAAATACTGGCCCGCCAAGCTGTTTCCAGCCCAGGAATGCTCCAAGGAGCTGCCTCAGCATCCTGCTGCCAACCTCTCCGTGGAGACCAGAGCTGTGAAAGCCACAGACAGGTTTCTAGGACTGTCTGCCTCGAGTGGCACGCGGCCGTGTGCTATCTTGGCTGGATACCAGGTGACAGTGGGTGCAGTTCCTCTAACTCCCTTAGGGAATAAAGGGCTATTTTTGCAAACTGAAGGTTCTACATGATTATTCCTAAGAGGAGCTGGGATTGGGAGGGTAAAGACGTGTCAAAGTTGTATAAGCAGATGAAAATTATCCTTATTCCACACGCTTGAAACATTTCCGCTGTGTAATTCAACGTTGGAGGTGTAAATGCTGCCTCCTGCTGACAAAACAGGGATCTATCACTGCTACTCCCCTGAGCCCTGTTACCATCCTGATGAGCTTTTGAGTAGAACAGAGTAGCCATTCTACTCGTTTTTAACTAAGATGATGCTTAAAAATCACTCATCCTTACCTGGAAAGCGATTTTGAACACCGGGGGTGAGTTCTGCAGGCGCACCGACACCGCTGTGTAACCCTGCCCCTCGAGTTACTTCACCAGCAAACTTCATTCATACTTTCCACAGGCAAACTGTTGCCAAAACAATAGAAGTTCCATCTTTTGACAGCTTTACCCTCCTAATCTTAAAATGTGTCAGTATTAAGACACAGGCCAGTTGCTTACACTATATTTTTATTTAATGCAGTGATCTTCTGACAGTGATTAACAAAAGTCTTCATGATGAAGGCGGCTTACAAGTAAATGTTTTCTATTCAAACACATGGATGTAAGACAGTATTGTATGCAAGTACCATACGTGTATGTATTAAATTATATTTTATACAATGCAAGGTGTCAATTTGTAGCAATTACTCCACACTTCCCTTCTTACTTGCAGTTGGAGGTGTTCACTGAGCAGTCCTGAGTCCAGCTGCATTCCCAGATCATGGTAGCTACACAGCAGGTAGCATGCCTGTACTCTGGCCCATGCATCAGCTGTCCCGGTGATGTACAGTCCTGCACACGTGGACAGCTTTACCCTGTAAATTCACACCTACTACCATCTACGCTGCGTTGTCCCAGGTGTGACTTCCCTCTGTGTTTCCCTGATTTGACCTAAAAAGAGAAGCTGCAAAGACTGCTCATCTTTTGCTTCTTCCCAGCTGGATGAAAGATGCTTCCAGCCTCCCTTTCCAGAAAATCTAATTTGAAATAGAAAAGGCTGAAGCAACGGCAGAAGTAACTCAAGTCCGTTGCTATGCAAAACTTCCAAAGAAAGCTGCTGCATGTGCTGTATCTGCAACACCTTTGTTGTTCAGCTGCGGGGTGGTATTATCTGTGCCAGCCACATGTCTGCAGAAACCACTCCAGGCACTGTAACACCTTCTGCCAAAGTCATTGGGCTTGACAGGGATTCCCACTTGTACCATCCTGGCCGTTCCCCCGTGCTTGCCACTGAAAGGATATCTTCACAGCACCAGTTTCAGTGTGTTCTTGGAAAAAGTGACTCACCGAGACTTAAGGCAGAGAAGGCACTTCCATTTTACCCAAGGTGCGTTTGGGGACTAAGCCAAGCAAATAGACACTAGTAGAGATGCAGTGCTTTGTCATTCCATCTTTGTTAGCATTCAACTCCCACTGATGAGACCTAAGGGCAGGGGAGAGGGAAATAACATCTTCAGCCTCATAATACCTATTGTTACGGTGGCAAACGGGCCACAGAGATGTTCTCACAGTTCCAATTGTTCCTAGTAGTCTGTCACAGCATCCTTGTGGCGGCTGTCGCTTTGCACTTCCCCTTCTCACCATGTACTTGGAAACAAAGGTTGAAGGCTTAGCTAACACGCAGCTAAACCTCTCACTCTTGCATAGTCAAAAGGAAGAGTCAAAACAAGTGAAAACAGGGCCCTGAACAGTAGCATTTGGTGATGGGAGACATTCAGGATGCCCCGTTGTCCACACCATCAGTCACTTTCCCTAAAAGCAAACTACTTAAAAAGAAAGGGAAAAAAAAAAAAAAAAGCCTTGAGAATATTGAACATTTATTAAAAGTGCAATAAAAATAAACAGTTCTCCTGTCCCTGTGACAAGGGACCAGAAAGACCAGCCAGGAAATACAGCCAAGGTATGTCATTGTGCTTTTGTTCCACCACTTCTGCTCAACGCTTGGAGCTGGCACTCCAGGCACTAAAACCCCAACCATGCAGCAAGTCCATCCAGTTCCAGAGACTCAGGAGACCCAAGGCTCCCCACAGAATGCACTTTCAGACACTGTCGAATCCTGCAGGAAGGGGTTCTTTGGCAGGACTATTTGCAGGCTCTTAGGGCTGGAACAGCGGGAAGCACTGGCAGTCACGAGTCAAGACTTATCAACAGAGCTGGAATACTCTACTCGGTGACACACTCGTCTTCATGGCACTGGTAAAGTCACAAACACTCCTACAACACCCCTACTCAGCAGACACAACACTTGCCTTGTCATATAGTTGCAGGGGGAAAAAAAAGAAGTCGGCAGCAAGGTAATGGCAGAGCTGCATCAAGCTTAGAGGGGCCCAGCTCAAAAAGTTCAGCTCAGTTTAGTATCCTAGGCTGCTGCTCGCCAGGGGTGGCTAAAAGCACAGCGCATAGTCAAAGCTGCTTTCCTACTCTTCAGCACCCATCAGCTAGGTGGGATTTCACTTAGCTCAACATTCAGACCCACACAGCCAAAGATGGAGATGCTCACCTCTGTCTGTCAATTCTGCTGTGAAACCCACGTGCAGAGCAGCTAGCAGACTCTCGGGCACACACACGCGCATCTGCTGTACTACAGCAGCAGGGATTGCTCGGTGTGCTTTGGCAGGGTTGCATAGAAATCTAGAACTGGTACAGCCAAAAGGAAGTGTGAGAAGAAGAATCAGAGGTGCAAACACCTGGGTCCAGGCAGTGCTCTCTATTTCTCACCCTCACAGGCACAGTTACTCCAGGATTTAGTCTAAAAACACTTCTAGCTTAGAAATGATTGACCTAATGAAAACATTAAAGTGTACTAACATTTTACTAATGCCCTAAGCGGGCAACCCTGGGAAAGCTCCTAAGCAAATAGTCATTTCTGTTCCTTTTAACAATTTGTGTGTAAAAAATAAGAATCTTAAATTAAAAAAAACAACCAACCCAAAAAACTGAGCCTTGATGCCCTAATGAATGTCCAGAGGCACTTCCACATAATATCAACCTACTGATACAGGGGAGAATGGGAGAAGATCCTTCTCATGAATAAGTTAGGTCAAAGCATGTTCTTAGGCGCAGACTCTGCTTGCTTCTTACAGTCAGCTTCTTACTTCCTCACTGAATCCAAGGTGCTTGGGGAAGGCAAGACGGGCAAAAAAAATTGTCCGCAATTGCAGAACTTGGAAAGGGTGGACGTAAACACTGTAAATCCTGCATTCCAAAACAAGAAGGAAGAAAGGCGGCGTGGTTTGTAACTGGGAGAAAAGTGCACTGATAAGGTTACAGAGCTGAGACACTCCCAGCGTGTGAAGTCTCGCCTGCTTGTTTGCATACACAGCACAGTCTGTGCTGAGTCTGACAGCTTCCTGACATAACAGTCCAAAAGGCAGATCTCCCCCCTCACTGGTAACGTTATAAATGTGTTTCCCTGTTGAGACCTCACTACCCCATTTCCCTCCCGTTCCCCCATCAGCAGCTGGCCACAGCCACATCTTTAGGCTCCGTCAAATTTCATCAAAGCATCAGCTTCCCTGATGCAGGCAGAGCCACAGAGATCTGCATAAGCTGAGCTGAAGAGGAGCTGGGTCAAATGCGAAGTAAACAGACCGTGGTGACACTCTCAGTTAAACAAGGGAAGCATTCCTACCTGTACAGCCTCCATACAGCTCACCTCCGGCTCCTTTATCGCCCCGTATTACTCATCCCTGAAACCTTTGGGCTTTTGATGTTAAGGTTCTCGTAGACGGAAGCTGACTCATCATCAACCCTGTCAAGAAACAAAGCCTTGTTATTAACAGCCTCACTGCTCTGGATCTTTTCCCAGAGGCAGGTGGCCAGTGGGAAGCGGGGAATGGCCCAGCCAAGCTCCCTTTTTGCCTCCCCAGCCCTGTAGATGACGACATAGGGCTACCCGCTGTTCTCAATCCCTGTTTTCTCTCCTGCCGGCTGGGCCACCCCTCCTAGGTTCCAATACAGCTTGGGGATGGAGCCTTGAGCCTTCCTCCACATGTCAGCCTTTCATGGATGCAAAGTTTCTGCAGGATCAGCGGATACAGTTCCTGGTATTTCCTACTCTTATTTTCTCTACGTACCCAGTTTCTCTGGATTTTCCAAAAATCTCATGGAAGGAGAGGGCTGCTCCAAAAGCCAGATCCAAGTACCTCTAAAGCAGGTTTGACACCCAAAGCTGAACTCACGGGAGCTCTCTGGAGCCAACAGTACCAGCCGTGTAGAGCTCGCCTTGCTCGGCTCAGTCCCACACAGCCCTCCCTGCCCTCATTTATTCAGAGCTGCACTTTCAAAGTTGGGCATTTTAAACAGGACACAAACGTTTCTAGTGTCCAGCAGGGAAGATCCCAACTGGCCAGATCCAGCAGGAGTTGGAAGGTTCATAATGCCAGCAAAGGATCCAGATTTCCCTTTAGCGCTGCATGAAAGCAAGGTCTTCGCAGCACAGCGGGCAGGAGCCACTAGCACTCCGGCGGTTGCCAGACGCCCAGAGAAGAACGTGTGACATCTCCTTTTGCCTTCTTCTCTTCAGTTGGATTTTTCGTTCTGCACGAGCCCAGCAACAGCATTTCTACCTCCACTTTAACAGCCACTCCTCTGCTCCTGCCTAGTCATCTCTTCTTTCAAAACCCATCCTGCAATTCAAGGTGCCCAGAAAGCTCTGATATTCTATAACCGACCTATGTTCCTGCCCACTCACCTTCAACTCATAACCTCCTCTCCATCCCTCACTGGTATTCCATTATTTGGGGCAAAAGGGAAAAACATATTTTGGGGTATTTTATCTCTGCTTATGTAAGGAACTCATGCTACTTAGCACACACTCCCTCCCTACATAGGTGCGAATCCACCTCCCTCTGCTCTCTTCTCATCTTCCTTCAGATTTTGCTGTAAAACTCCCTCAGCGGCAGTGGCCCAGTTTCACTCTCTGGCAGATTCTCCAGAGACATTCTCCAGAGGCACTAGTTACTAAAGGCTAGGTTCTCTTTCCTCCTCCCCTTTCCAAAGCAGCTGCAAAAGCGCAGCACATAAGCAAGGTGGGCTGCTACCACCACCGCTGACAGTGTGGTGGGATCACCGGTTTATTTTTAGCCATTCCCATATGATAGCCAGCCACTGGTCAGGTTTCAGGTATGGGAGAGGCAGGCTGGCAAAGGATAAATACTGGGGCCTTCGCTCAAGCTGTTCTCTCTACTGCTACAGAAGTTCTTAGCCCTGGCAGAGGGACATTCAGCTTACACAGACTGGGCCCGTGGTGAAGGGGGCTGCCCTTTGGCTCTGCCTTTTTCCATAGGAGAGTAGCCGATATTCAAGTAGTCTCGCTCTTTCCTTTTATTCCTCTGAAAGAGAAAGCAAAGACAATAAACCCCCACTCATAGCAGCTGCAGAAGAAAGCCTCACAAGATCCCATATTCCAGCAGGGGAGCTGGGTGTGAGTTTATTTCCATGTGTTCAGGGCAGTATTTGAGTTCCAGGGAGAAGGTGGGAGTGGAAGCAGTGTTCTGTCTGGGCCAAGTTCTGCCCTTGCTTTTCCAACCAAACCGAACGGAACTCACCTGTTCTTCTTCCAACCTCTTCTGCTCAACCTCAATGTACTGCTGAACAGCCATGTAAACAAACTTGTACTGTGCCTCTGTCTGCACCATGCCCGAACGCTGCCTGCGGACCATCTGGATAGTTTTGGGGATATCAATATCGCAGTCCAAGCCTGACCAAGAGTGAGAAGGTGAGGTTTAGGGAGCGGGAATTAGGTTGAAAAAGTATTTTCTTAAGACAACTTTGAAAGCTTTCAGTATCTGGCTGCACACAGTGCCAGCAAAGCCCTGGAATATTGTGAAAGGATTTGGTACATCTCTGTGCCCAGGAGATTTTTCAATTTTTTAATTTTTTTTTTTTACCCCCCTGCCAGAGCACCTCGGACTGAGAATGGCTGAGGCAGGGCTGACTTGCGTGGAGCAAGGGGAAGGGGAATTAGGTCTGTTCTGCAGCAACTTCCTACAGATCCAGACTTACCCCCTTGCATGGTTTATGAAATAGATACAACCATTGCTGAAGAGGGTCCACCTGCCTCAAGGCTCCCAGATCAGACCCAGAGATACCACGGAGAGTTCCATAACAGCTCTAGAATTTCAGGTAAGGGTGACAGCTCTTCTACACAGAAGAGTTTGGGGGACTTATTTCTAAAAGGGCTACTGAAGTTACACCCTTACTGAACCTGTTTCCTCCCACCCCACCCTCAATAAAAGGGTTTTCCAGGAGACCTTGAAATCCTGGCCCCACTGATGCCAACAAGACGACCCTCCTGTGCTGTGCTGCTGAAGGCATCTCCCTTACTAGAGGGCTGTCCATGTGCACACCCATTGGGAGAGGGTTCACATCTTGTTACGACAGAGCTCCCTTTCTTGGCCCACAGAGAAACGGGGAACTGGGCACAGCACACAAGCCCTTCTCACCCTGCATTCGTCCACTGCTTCCCGGACGAGTCAAACCCATGCTTGGGGATCACGTACCCACTGCTTGCACAAGAGCAGGGTTATCCCATAACTGGTCAGAGCAAGGCAAACAGTGAAAGCCACGAGATAGACAGGGAGACATACCTTGCCTGTGAATAATATCCACCAGAATATCTATAACTATGATGGTGCCTGTGCGTCCTATTCCAGCACTGGAAAGAGAAAAGAAAAAAATCATTGCAGGAAGAAACATTCTCCAGAGTTAGTCAGTTTAGCTCCCATGCTCATCTGCATGCCTGGTCCGTTCTGGGCCGATTTGGCATGGTTGCTATAAGATAAGCCCAGCCAAATGCTGACCTTTAGGAGATCAGAGTCTAGCAGGCTGCATCAGAGCTACCAACTCCACATCAGGCCTGCTCTTCCCTGCGCTATCCCCAGTGAGGCTCTGGAGGAGGGCTGTATTTTCCTATATGTATACTTATATCTCAATTGCCCACCATCAGCTCATGTGATGACCCAGCTGCAGGTGTAACAAAAAAGAAAAGACGTATTTTTATTACCCATCCCCACTGCAGTAACCCGCTGACAGCCCACTGGTTCGTACCTGCAGTGTACTATGATCGGCCCCGTGTCTGGAATGCTTCGCTGTGCCCGATTCACTTGGTCCAGAAAGCTCAGAACCCCTCCTGGTTCATTGGGCACCCCGTGGTCTGGCCAGCTAAAATACTGATAGTGCTTCACCAGTCTTGGGCGCTCATCCTGCAGGGAGCAGAGACCCACCACCTAGTCAGAAAACCCCTCCTACTAGGAGGCTTCTCCTTCCTTTCTTTTTATCAAAGCTGGGGCAAAGTGGCCCAGAACTTAAGCAGTGGGACCATTAAGTAAAAAAACAAACAAACAAACAAACCAAAAAAGCCACAGCTCCCTCCCCAGGGGTTCCAGCACCAGCCTGTTCCCAGCAGAGTGGGCAGACAGCAGCAGAGGACTCACCCTGTCGATCCGCAAGATCTCCAGCTCCCGAAGGTAGTAGCCCTGGGCCTCACGCTCGCTCACGTTTCGCACACAGATGCACCCGTATTCCTTGGTGCAGCTCTTGTCTGGCCAGTAACGGAAGCATTTGTTCTGCAGCAACATCAGATAGCTGCTCGTTAGTCGAGAGTGGAGAGCTGGAGGATGAACCCCTGACCACCTCACTCGGGGATGCTGCTGCATTCAAAGGGTGTATAGCCCCAGCGCAGAGGTTTAAAGGAGAGCCATACACACAGAGCATTTCCTTTGAACTGGGGATGTACAGGAAAGGCCCCTTCCTATATGAAGGATGTGATCCCTATGGGAATCTCCCTCCTCAGCTAGCCCCAGCCTCAGGCAGGCATTGCTTTGCCAAAGGCATAGTCTTGACACATAGCACTTGAGCTGTTGGTCTGGTCATTGCCCAACTCCTGAGCCAAATCTCCATCCCAAGGGGCTATGTAGTCTGTCTATACCCCTCCTGTCCTCCAGCCCATCCCCTCTTTGCCAATACAAAAGAAGGCTTGCAAGTAGAGCTATCTTTACCTCATCTCTGCACTAGGCTGCTGCAAGCACAGCCTCCCCCTCATTCCTAAGCAAAACTGCTAGTGCCCATCGTAATTAGCTCCTCTCTTTACTGGGGAAGGCTGTTCCGGTGAACGGCTCTGCATGGAATTTCACTGTATTCCTTGGGCCCTACCATTTACTGAAATGCACACAGGTGGTACACAGACAGGTTGTATAATTGCTTTTGTCCCTCGCACAGCTTGCAACACCCCCGCCCCCCCGCCCTGCTTTCCAGCTTGCTGTAACAAGCACGATGCTTTCTCTCTCTCTCTCTCTCTGCCATCTGCAATTCCCCAGAGCCTTGAAGCAAGTCATATGAGGGACACTCCATTAATATTTATGGGGCTGGGGAGATGGGCTGTGCAGAGCAAAGTGGTGTGTTTCTTTCACGAAGAAGAGCTAAGGCAACATTACAAGACAGAGGAGAAATGAAATGAAAGCTAGCCAGAGACAACTTAACACTATTAGTACTAGCAGCAGGTAACTTTCAGGCTTGGGGACAGCACCCTACAAGCGCTCACCCTGCCCCGCTCCACCTCCTTGGTTGTCATGACAATGACGTGACTGTTCTCTTGATACACCATGGCCCAGAAGTCATTCACTGTCGTCTGCAGGCAGCCCTGGGTGGCTATATAGATCTTGCAGTGCTCCGAGTTCCTTCCGTCTTCAGGGATGCTCTGAGGAACAAAGGAGAGGGGAAAAAAAAAACCCAATCATGCTGGAGTGGAGAACTGAGAATTGCTTTAGTGCACCTTTAGCGGCAAAGTCAGCACACCTTGCCACGCAGAATTTTTGAGCTAGCTGATTTTCCTCTATTCATCAGACCTGCAGACACGAACCGCTCCCATCACCAGCTTCAACAGAGCCACCAGCAAAATGGTCTACCTGCCTCTGGGGACCTTTATGCTGCTGTAACATTACTGCACAACAGACTCTTGCCAGCAGGCAGCTGCAGAAGTTGCAGGTGGACGTGGCTGGAATGAAGCCACCTTGAAGGTTTCCCAAAGCCTGGCGCTTAAGTGCCAGAGCAGCATTGCTGGAAATACAGCTTCAAGCAGCTCTTAGCTTACAGATGACAATTATAATTTGACCTCAGAGATAATGTTCAATGACAGAGTCTGGGTCAGTCCCCTAGGACCTCCTGAACAGGTAAGGAAAGGAGGGGATTGAGATAAACTCTTCAATAGGGGCAAATAGGACATGGTAGAATCATGAGATCCCTTGGGATACAGTAGAAAAATCCAGTGTTTGGCCTGGACCCAGTGAAAGACACTGGTCCTGACAGGCCATTCCCTCAAGACTTACACCATTACTGCACTTACCCACCAGAAACATAGCGCTGGGCTGAAGACAGCCCCCACATGGTGTCTCCCCTTTCCCAAGTACCTTGATATAGTTGGCATTGATGTAGTCTGACCCAGGCACGCTCTCGTCTACGTCTCGGAGTGCCACCCGTGTGGTATCAACTGAAGGAGAAGAAAGTCCAGAATGAACACAGGAGCGAGTCACCCACAGAGGAGCACGGATGGGCTTTGCTGCAGGGCAGTCACGGTGGCTCCCAGCAAGGGCTTCCACAAGGCTCTTACTATGAAGTCACATGGATAACTACCGCAAAAGAGAGTGTAAAATGCTCTCCTAATGAGACTTAGCCTAGTCCACACTACCTGGCTCACAGCTGTGTTGCCAATCGAGTAACAGGAGCGAGTCACCCACAGAGGAGCACGGATGGGCTTTGCTGCAGGGCAGTCACGGTGGCTCCCAGCAAGGGCTTCCACAAGGCTCTTACTATGAAGTCACATGGATAACTACCGCAAAAGAGAGTGTAAAATGCTCTCCTAATGAGACTTAGCCTAGTCCACACTACCTGGCTCACAGCTGTGTTGCCAATCGAGTAACTTGGATGGAATATGAAGTCACATGGATAACTACCACAAAAGAGGGTCTAAAATGCTCTCCTAATGACACTTAGCCTAGTCCACACTACCCGGCTCACAGCTGTGTTGCCAATCGAGTAACTTGGATGGACATTAGTGATACACAGTGTTGCAGACTAACCCGAGCTCAAGTTTTCCAGTATTTCCTTTGGAGGCTCTGGCTCCACATGACTTTTGAACTACACTTCAGCTCTGAAGCATATTTGGACTCACAGCCCAAAGAGAGGAGAGCAATTTATCAGTTTCCCATGCAAAAGGGAAGGACCAGGTTAGAAAGGGGATGGAGAACGCCATGAACTAACTGGACCACTCCACTAGGACAGTGTACATCTCTTTCCAACTCAGCTATGATCAGAAAGCTCTGCAGGGTTAACTAGCCCCAGAGAAGGCTGGAGAAACTGTGGTGAAAAAACACCAAACCAGTACTCAGTGCAGAAATTGGGGTGAAAAAACACCAAACCAGTACTCAGTGTCTCCTTACAGGGAAGGATGTTCTTGTAGCGATTCTTTGCCTTGTTCTCTGGCCGCTGTCCCTCCTTCCTGGGGTAGAGGAGCTTGCACTCTTGCTGCTGCAGCATCTGTGGGGCAGAGAACAAAAGAACCAGCTGTTTTGGGCAGGCAAGAGGAGTCAGAGGCAAAGGAAAGGCTCTTTCGACTAGCTGCTTGGCTTCCTAACGCTGAGAAGAGCAGAGGGAGTGCTGGCAGGAAGGGAAAGGGAGCCAAGAAGCAGCTTGATGAGAGAGTTAATGGGGGGAGAAGGCACAAATTCCTGCAGGGAACAGGAGGCACGCAGTTCTAGGATGTGGAAGGAGAAACTGCCTCGGACATGAGAAAAAGCAATGAAAAAAAGGACCAGGAAGTAACTCAGTTGAACACGGAAAGCAGGGAAAGGAGAAACAGTGTTGAGAAGAGGTCCTCAGTGCTGGAAACCCACGACGGAGAGTTAATGGGGGGAGAAGGCACAAATTCCTGCAGGGAACAGGAGGCACGCAGTTCTAGGATGTGGAAGGAGAAACTGCCTCGGACATGAGAAAAAGCAATGAAAAAAAGGACCAGGAAGTAACTCAGTTGAACACGGAAAGCAGGGAAAGGAGAAACAGTGTTGAGAAGAGGTCCTCAGTGCTGGAAACCCACGACGCTCCCATGCCCCACAGGCACAAGTGGGACAGAGCACAGGAGCATCCTGTACCTCAAACTCTTCCCAGAACCCTTGCTTGGCCTTCTCACTGTGATCCGCCATTTTGTTTAGCTCCTTCACTCTGTTTTCAATGTTAGCTGCATTGATGCGCGTGGCATTGAACGGCTGAAAGACAGATGAAGACAGAATAGAAATCACTTTCAATAACAGAAAGACAGATCATTTTCCCCGTGAACAAAAAAAAAAAAAAACCACAACAGTTCCTGAATCCCTGGGGGTATTGGCAGGAATTGGGTCCATCCCTGAGGCCAGGGACCTCTCTGGCAAGCGTGAGCCTGGACAAGCGTGACAAGTAGCCAGCGGGATGTTCTGGGGGCAGGGAGTTCCCAAAGAGCAGGGGCAGATCTGTGCACTCCCCCAGGAGTTTGGGCAAGCCCAAAACCAACAAATATGTGCTAGAGCAGCTATTACCTGCTTCAGATGAACCACAGCTCCAGATTTCTCCACCATGGGGTTTTTCTTGTAGTGCTCTACCAGGTCTGTGAGCGTGTCAAACCTCTCTCCTCCCCCCACGTCATACTTCCCGTCTGGCTGCAGCAGAGAATGACAAAACCACAGTGAGAGGCGAATGCAGAGCTCCCAGTTGGGTCGCCCACCCAGCGCCTATGGCAGGGCGAGCAGGGACAGCACACTTCCCACCTGGTAGTGGATCATCACGTGGGTCACGTGTGGCTTCCGATCTCCAGTCTCCATTTTATCCTCATTCGTCAGCACCGACAGTACAAAGTCTCCTGGTTTGCTCTGGCTCTCCCGCACCAGAAAGCTACCTGGTTTCCCTTTCTCTGTCAGAAGTTTCTCTGCCTCCTTGCCAGTGAGGTGCCCATGGTACCACCTTGGGGAGCAGCAATGGGGAGCAAGGTCAGCTCAGAAATGCACAGAGCATTGCCTTTAGACAAGAGCTACAGGCACTGCTGGGGATGGTGTTCATGGGAAACCCATTTCTAGGCTCCCACTGGCACAACACCAGCTTGAGTTATTTTAGAAACAGTCCCCAGTGACTTTCCTCCAACACTTTGCAATGTCACATCAATACCTTAGCCTGAGGCTGGAAGCGTCAGGACTTTGCTCAATCCTCCAGCCAAATGTGAAACGGCATCAGTATATTAAACTGCCACGTGATGTATGACAAGCACTGTCATCTAGGGATAGCTTCCAATGAAGATACAAGAAACATGATTCTGGCAGTTCTTACTTGAAGGTGGCTACGTTTTCCTTTATTTTTTTTAATATGGAAGAAAAAGCAGAACACTTGGAGTCAGCAGGCTGTAGTCAGGCAGTATCAGACACAGAGCATGGACAACACTGACCAGGCACAAGATGCTCTGACACAGTTTGGGAAGGATTTTCAGAACGGTCGTCTTCACTGTAGTTACTGCTGCTCCCCTCCCAGCTCACTAACCTCAGCCCAGGTCCGGCTGGGGGAGAACAGAAGGGCCCTGCACGCTCGCCTAGAGTGGCAAAATGGGGTTCCCCACTGTGCCCAGGAGGCTTCTCCCCCTCCAACCCTGCCCGCAGCCGCATCTCCAGCCAGTGGCAATGACAACGTGCAGAGGTTTGTGCTCAGCTCTTCCCAAGCCTCGCTCTGCAGGCATGAGTTGCTCCACCTCTCCGTCTGTGTACATCTTGCACGCACGTGCCCCTGTTTCTCCATCTCATCTCTCATAATCCTTTCTCTTGGTCTGCTGACATACTTACACTGCAGTCTCAGTGAAATGCAGGCTATCTTTCAACTGGCTTGGTCAGAAGTTTGTAGCTGTCTTGCCACAATGCCTTGGGGTGAAACACACAATAATCTGCCCGTTCCTGGGCATGCCCTCTGCAGCTCCATCTGCAGCACTATTGCAGCACTATAGCTCGGTGCTCTGGCTAGGCAGCTCACCTGGCCTTTGCTGCACAGCAGCTCAGCAAGGCAGCACGTCTCGCCTACCCGCACACGGCTATCCGGGGCAGGCGTGCTTCATGGGCTAGCACTCTGCTACAGCCTTCCATACACAAATAACAGTTTGGAGTGAAGATGAGTTTCTTTTTGCCTTGGAGCCTTCGATCCTCACACTCCATCAACACTCAGCCATGGCTCTAGGCAGATGCCACAGGTCTCACTTTGAAGACGCTGGCTCCTGGCCGGCCAGCCAAGCTGCCAGGAATTCAGAGAGGCTCAAAATAACCTTCCAGGGGCGATGCAATGGCATCACGTCACGTCTCAGCAACTTTGTCCCGGAGGACGAAGTTTATAGAACAGCAGACAGTGATGCTGGGCCTTTTGAGTCCCGACTCAGCATGCTGCAAAGGCAGCCATTTCAAGCCTGACTGGGAAGACCTGTAAAGAGCAAGACTCCTTCCTGCAGGCTTGAGAAGGCATCAGGATCACGGGGCTGCACGAGTCGTACTGCTGCAGAGGTGAAGTACCTCAGCGCCTGCTTACAGCACTGCTGCTATTCAGGCCCAGGTCTTGGAAACACTGCTACCCTGACGCATTCCGCTACATTCTGACACCATCGTCATTTCGTGTATTTAGAGGACTTGGACCCTTTTCCCCTCTCTTCTCCCTGATGCCACCAGATGTGTGGTCTGGAGCAGAAATCTTTATGGAGTTTCTTTGCCAAGCCAGACTTTCCTTGGTGGGGAAAAAAGGGGAAACCCAGCTGAAGGGGGTTTCCAATTTTCCAGAGTTTCTGTTAACCTGAGCGGCTGCCCGGCCGCTTTTCACAGTGAGATCTGGAAGGAGCAAAGAAACCTCCCTGGCAACAAGGCAGCACATGAGCTGGAGGGACTTCCCAGCGCCCGGGCCCAGCCGGCTCACATGACGGCGAGGAGGGCAGCGCTTCTGCTCCATTTCAGGAACCGAGACTAGTCACAGCTTGGCCTTACCCCGGCTGCTAAAGTTAGAGTAATCCGGGGCCTGCTTTGGCATCGCCAGCCGCCTGACTAGGCCTTCCCCTTTCCAACCCACAGTGTCAGCCGCTGCATATGACACTGGGGAAACTGAGGGGGAGGAGAAGGAAAAAAGGGGTCACTGGAGTGTCACAGACGAAGGGGAGGAAAGAAGGTCACTAATCGGCTGGTGGAAACATCCTGAAGTAGCCTGAGGCAAGCGGCTTCTCACAGCGAGTCAGCCATCCCCCCTCCCTGCAAGACAACGGTGTGTTGCTACCGGGATGAACAGCGGTTACAGCCCGAGATGGGATGGGAAAGACTTTTTTCAGGGCATTTCTACCCAGCGTTCTGCAGACGGACACAAGTCACTCGCATGTGTTTTGTTTCTTTTAAAATCAAAGCTGCGTGCGTCCTAGGATACACCTGCAGCACCCTTTGCAGATGGACTCATACTGCTCGTGTTCCCAGCTACCTAAAAGCTAGAGAAAGCTTATCGGCACACACTGACACTGAGCAAGTATCAGCTTCTGGGCCTTGCTGATGTTATCCAGCCAGCTTCTGCACGCAGAGCAGCTAGGGAACCATACCCCAGAGGTGTGCAGCTTTTGGGTCACAAAAGCTAAATCACACCCAACCACAGGCTGTTTCGGGCTCCTTTCCAAACCCAGGCCAGGTGCAGCTGTAGGGTCTGAGCCAGTTGGGAAGACAGCATCACCATCACCGGGAAAGGCTGTTAGAGAACGTGGCTTACCTCTCCGAGGTGGGGTCCTGGCAGTTGAGAGGGTACTTGAGCTCGATGACATTGCTGTTCTTCTCCCGCAGCAGCCCCTGCTGCTCCGTGTAGTACTGCACCAGCTCGGCAAGGGTGGCAAACTTCTCGCCTCCGTAGAGGTCATAGTAATCCCCTGTGTTCTGGATCTTAATGTGTGTCACCTCATCGTTTCTTCTGGGGAAGCAAGGCAAACAAGACCGTAAGCATGAAAGAATGGAAACCCAGCACTGCCCTTCAGAGTCCAGATGCCTCCTGAACACCACCCACCTCTTTAAGCTGCACCACGCACTCTCCGTTCACTCAGATGCTGCTCATGCTGGCCACGCTTCTACAGTAG